TGTGCCGAGAGGCACGCGCACCTTCTGATCGACAGTGTTTAAGTCCACGGCAGGTTGGCATATACCGAAGAACCGCTTGAGCACCCACCCCCCCATCAAACCGCCCTTTTTTTCACCCCAAGAGGTGCAGGAACTGAAGCATATCTCGAGACAATTAGCTGCACAGACTTTGACGACGACGTGCTATTTGCATTCCGAACGTGCAGCACGCAGTGTAATGTCTGCCAAAGACATTAATAAGAAGCGCCTGTGGGCTTGTCTAACAAGGCACCCCAGTGTTTTCAGCACAAATACACTTGTAATTAGTTTCGTTTAAAGCGTGGCGCGGGCGACAACGCAGAGGCGCAAAACCACCGGGACGGACAATCGCACAGTACCATGAGAAGAACGATCGTCGGAATTTGTTTGGTTGATGTGTTCCGGTCAACCGTTGACAGCATCGCCTGCTCCCGCTTCTCTTTCTGGATGTGTATCGCAATCGTTTCTTTGCCTCATCACCATATTTTCCCCAGCAATAAATGGTACGTTGATTTCTGTGTATTTGGTGCGCATATCGTCTATCCTCATTCCTCTTTCGTGTAGCTTGGCAAAAATGCAGCAATGTATTCCTACTTAAAAGAGGATAATGTCATTTAGAGTTAATAAAAAAAAAAAAATTTTAAAAAACGAAAACACTCATAGTGTCACTCGACCCCCAGCAGTACTACGTTTGTAAAGGTGGTATTTTTGATTTTGCGCAGGTATATCAATCACACAATCAAAATCTCTATTTAACGAGGAAAAACTAAAATAACAATGAGCTCCAGCTCTCTTTTTCAAGGGAATTCATTTCATAACAAAACAGTGTACAGTGGACCCCTGCGTATTTTTTTGGAGGGTGGTGGGGGTTGTTTTTTGTGGGAGGCTCCCCCAATTTCGGCCCATTTTTCATGGTCAACGCACATTGAATGTTTCTCAGGATATTTTGAACAATTTTGGGGGTTGAAAAGCGTTATCGTCTATGGCCGTCAATTTGAAGCGGACCGTCACTATTTGCGAATATAGCGGGCTCCACATGAACTGACGCAGGTCGAAATGTATTGTTCTTGTGGGTGTGACACACAGCGTACATGCAATCAAATCGCGCTCATTCATTGCACTGCTTTCAGACGGAGTGTCAGTCTGCATGGGCAGCCGTAAACATTCCATCGCATTAACAAGTGCACTTGAATGCAACACTGCAATCTTGAAAGTCGGCAGCGAAAGCGACGGGCCTGAATTGTAAATGAAAAGACTTTAAACAAATATGTAAATTAGCAAGCAGCCCTGTTTGGCGTTCTCAATAATTAATGGCTTCTTTGTACCAGAGTGGACCTTTCTTCTTTTTAGCGTCGCTATGTGCATCTACGAGCGCACACTCTGCGGCACGCAACAAGGGGCCGACGGCGTTTAAGCCAAACAAATGACATCACCAGTGAACAAACATGGCCGCTGCGGGGAGGCACTGTGTTTATTTCTGTACTCCTGAATGTCAAATACCTCGGAATACAAAAGCACGACACAAAGCTATTTCATGAGGCGCTGGGGACTCTGTGAACATATGCGGATGTTTTACCAGCCTCCGCAGAGTGACACTTAAAGCCCGCGCAAAACATAGCAGCCTTTTATAAAGCGCCTCTCCTTATTTCTACCCACCGGCCATGTCTGAATGGCTGCCCTGAAGCAGCCCCGCAAGCGGACTAACGACAAGTGGGAGGATGAAACAACTCCTACCCGGGAGAGGGAGCAAGATGATGAATTGCGTAAAACCTCAGTCGGCGATGCATTTTAAAGACGTCGCGGCGTCGGGCAGAAACAAGCCGATGCTGACAGAGCGCGGGACGGCTTATTAGAGTCTGTCTTTCTGTCCGGCTGCGTGACAAGTGGCTCCTTAATGAGCTGTCTAAAGTCAAACAAGAGAAATAGCAACACAATAAATGACGAGGCTCGTCGCTCGCAGTTTGCCCGTGCTCAGATACGGCCCGGTAATCTCTTTATCTGGTCTGGCACCGTGCAGAATGAGAATTCTGCCAAATGGCATCCGACAATCCCCGGGTTCATTTGCATAACGGCACTCGATGTCTCCGGTCAGACGCGGTGGCGTGTTTTCCGCAGTTATTTACAGTCTGGAATGAGTTTTCCCAAAAGACGGCAAAATACAAGATGGTCGCTCCTCTGCCTGCTCTTTCATTCTCATTTGGAAGTGACAAGATAAAACTGTGTACAAGGGTAATTGCGGAGCAGCGTTGGAATTACAAGTGCGGTGAAAGGATGTCGTCTTGTAGTAGGGGAGGCGAATACTCGGGTCCAATTTCTGCCTGTTTTGCATGCAGGCTGCGAACTCTTCCCTCTGACACGGCAAACCTCATTAAGATAGAGCAAACTCATTCACTCGAGAATGAAAGCTAATTCTCCGTCCCCCCCCCCCCCTCACCGAGATATGGAGAGAAACCTAAATTGGGTCTTCGGGGACAAGCCAACATGAAGGTAGAGCCCCCCCGCCTCTCATCATCACACTTTTACCGTGACATAAACTGAAGGGCACCACCTTAAGCTGCTTTTGAACCGATGCTGTAAGCATGAGGATGAGCCCGAACCTTCAAGGCTTGTGAAGCCACGCTGGACAAACCGTCAAAGGGATGGACATCAAAAGCGTAGGTATTCTCGCTAATAATTGAGAAAAAAAAAATCACATCTGGTATGACCTTTGGATAAAGACGAGGTGGATTTCGGAGGAGACAAAAAGGGAGGAGGGCCTGCAATGGGCAGACGTCCACGCACCCAGCACGCAGCATGGGATGTGACATTTAGCAAGAACAGCAAAATGTCATGTCAATTAATCAGGAACACCAACACCGGCTGTATCGATACTCGGCGGCCTCACACGCTGTCTTCCGGCGTGCGCGCCCACCTCATCGCTGTCTGCGAAAGAGCATGACCAAAGATGGAGTGCCGTGGCTCGGAGCTACCCTTAATAATATTTCTGCTTCTTCAGCTTGAACCCACACCGAGAAATGGAATGGATCCATCACTTACACAATCGCAGAGCAAGGCCCCAGGAGATGGCGTACACTTTCCACTGCGGGGAGTTGCAAATTGCTTTTGAATAACCGCAGTCTAATTGACGGGAAAAGAATGCGCTGTCATAAACTGTCATCAACACATTTTTCACTTTGTACGTGCTCCGAGCCATTTTTCGGTTCCTCCCCCACCCCCCCGCCTCCATCTCTCGCGAGTGCGGTGACTAGGTTTGAAAGTGTTTCTGTGAGCGACGCGGCTCTCCCTCGGGGGACCGAAACGCTGGAACAACTGGCTCATTAGAAGTAAAAACGCATCAAAACAGTACACGATGCAGCCGGAAAGCCTTCGGAGGAACGACAAAGTCAGAGAGAGAAGAGCACAGACGGATGGATATGAGACGCTGGAGGGTAGTCGGCGTGGGAGGGGGAGACGGACAAGCAGAAGAAAAGCAAACACTCGGGTCCGATATGCGCTGGATACTTCTCAAGCACAGAATATTGCTTGTGAGTGCATCGCAGAGGCCTCTTTCTGACACACCTTCGTGAAGAAGCTGCAGAAATCTAAATTTAGCCTCCGGTCCAAAGCTCTCGGAACATTCATGCCAATACTTTCACTATTGCTGTCAGTTGGCGACATTTGGTTTGGACATCAATGAATACCTGAAAATCAAAGCTGCCGGGGCTCCAGACCGCACGGAAATGGTGGCATTTTGCCACAAACATTTTCGACGGCAAGAATGTTTTTCACCTCCACACGCATGTACGATCAGTAAATTTGGTGGGGGGTTTTGTTCTTTTTATAAATTCTTGAATATTTTTCTTTGCAGACTCCCGCTCCACACTTAAGCCCGTGTATCTGTTATTTCGTGTAAATGAGTGGAATATCTACATTTTCTATACTTGCACCACTGAAGAAGCTACTGTACTACCAGTTAAAAAAAAAAAAGGTGGTGTAGAGCCCCGGCGGTAGTGTTGATGTCTTATCAGATCTTCATCGTTTGCTTTTGTTGTCAGTCCACGACAGAAATGAAGGAGCTGACCACACTCTTCCTTTGAAGGGAAGCATGGACTCATTTGGGCTGCCGACAAAAATAGAAATCATCACATTACTGACACTGGTGGGAATTGCATGAAGGTAATTTCCCTGAGGAATAGAACGTTAAGTCTGTCAGATTTTACATGCGCTTAAAGACGTTGATAGATAATGTGATTGTCTTGACTTTCAGAGTTGTATACTTTCATTTCAAACACTAATTTGTCTGCAAATTGTGAGAGGCAGAGAAACCCCGCAGCATAGACGTAAATGAGCCGCAACGAGAGTGGACCTCGCTTCGATTATGATGAGCCCATTTACTGTGTGATATTGTCCAGAATTGCGCAGTTTAAACACACAATACACCCACAGTCTTTTCAAGTTTTCAGATCATGGAAAGTCTGCTTACAATCATGGAGCAGCGATAGTTTAGACACAGACTTGATTGTGTATGTAGTCATCAGTCACCAGAATAACAAAACTTTTTGTGTTTGGGGTTGCACTGCCAGATTGACCCCAAAATGCGTTTGTTTTTTTTTTTCTCGCTTCAATCTCATTCACACATTCAAACTTATTGCGGTAAAGAAGGCAAAGATCATCACTGTTTTCTCTCTCACTCGGCTGTCCGTGGTCATAAGTACAATGACTAATTGTATTTTAGGACTGTCGGCCATTCCGTCATCATCAGTAGATCACTCTGTCATGCAGCTCTAGCACGAACCGAAAGGCTTCAGCCACCCGGAAGGAAGTATGACATCATGGTAACATGGTCTTTATACATACGAAATAACTATAGGTGCCAAAAGGAATTGTTGGAAAGGGGCATTACTTCTATTTTTCCAAATGTACATGTGAAATTGAAAAGGTTTCATCCTGCGCCACGAATGAGAATATTTGACACATACTATGGGAACACTCATCTCTCTTACCTTCATTATGCATGCCGGCACAGTCACTCTCAAGTGAGGCCTCTTGTCAAGTAGTTGCCTGGGGAAGAAGGAAGAGCAAGTCATCGAGTGAACGACCTTCAGTGGCAGCCGCATGTTGTGCTACATTACACCAAGGCCTACCACCTGCAGCAGCAATCTTTTGGATCCAGAATGTACAGAAATATTACAGTGTTGTTCCAATGCCCACCCATCCTTTACATATATTTTTTTCCTAGTACAGCTTGTCCTCATTAGGGAGGCCCCTAACCTTGACTCAATTTGGTGTGACTTTTGCCGAGAGACAAGGTCCACCATGGACTGGACACGGGTCAATCACGGAGCAAAGCATCATCCAATTATTTATGCTCACACTCACACCTTTCAGACAATGTCGTCTTCGATGAACCGAACGTGCATGTTTTTGTAAACTGGGATGACGCCGTAGTTAAGTGGCGAAAACACATCCAAGCATGGAAGGAACATCCGCACAGGAGGGGCGTAGGCGAGATTCGAACCCCAACATCAAAACTATGAGGCAGCCACGTGCCTACCTACCGTGCTACGGCGTTTGGATGTGTGCGTAATTAATTTTCAACAGCGAAGATAATGCTGCATGTATCAAGTTGGTTCGTGGGGGCGTTGGTCTCTCTTGTGGAGCCAATGACAGGAAACAAGAAAAAAATTCTACACGACCGCAAGGTCCGTATAGGCAATAAACGTCGCTAAACACACTTCTCAATCAACACTGAGTGTCGTTACTTGTGTCAAAACAGAAATACAGTCGTAGAGAATACTGAAAACAAAGTAGATTTTTCAACGTCTAGCTGTATCTAATATTGATGGCTGTGAGTGCAGTTCAGCCAGCGTTGAGTCACTAGGATCCCTGTACTACGTTATGCGGAATATGTTTAAAATTTACTTTGAATCCTGGCGACGACTTAAGTTTGCAAGGTAGTTGGTAGCTTCAACGGTACATTTCGGTTTAGCGACCTCCGACGTCATATCCGCGCGTCTGTCGCGTCTGTGGATGAGTGTTGAATTGCAGCGCCATCTGCTGCTCGTTCATAAAACTGCGCGGATAGTTTTCACAAGACTTGCAAACGAAACTGATGTACATTTTTTTTTTCTTTAAATTATACATAGGAGGTCTTTTATTGACGGCGAAAAAACCAAGAAGCTGGAGCGAGCGCTTTAAAATCAACGTTTAGTCACGAGGCTTTCTTTAGCGCTCTTCCAAAAGGGAATGATTATTCTCTTTCTGACAACCTGAACGCCTCATATTACGTAAACGCATCACTGCCTTTTTGAACACGCTGAGTAGTTGATGAAATGGGAAGCAAAAAAAAAAAAAAAACACGTTCATTAATATCATATTGATATTGGTAACAATAATTTTACCCTTAATGTTATTGTTGTATTGTACGAACTAATAACCGTGACTATTTTTTAATTTATTTAGCGTACATGCAAATATGAATACAGTACAGTACTGTATATACCGTATGAATAGAATATATTTAGTTAATCTACAGCAGAGGTCTCCGATTCCGGTCCTCCGGAGCCCCTATCCGGCCTGCTTTATATGTTTCCCTGCTCTAAGCCACCTGATTAGGGAACATCTAAAACAGGCCTGTTGGGGGCTCCCGAGGCCCGCACTTGGACCCCTGATCTACAGTAATATTTATTATTGCGGTGATTGGAATAACCTCATTACAAATCTTCAAGTATTTCTTTCTTCTGACACACGGGGGAGCCCTTCGTACACGGAAGACTATACTCTGAGCCGACTGGCCTCAGGTCAAATTGAATGCCGTTTGAGAAAAAAAAAACAGAAAACATTTGAAGGAAATATGTTTTTATAATCCCTTTTGGATGTCAAAAAAAGCGTATAATGTAGGTTTTTTTTTAAAAGTGAGCGTTTTACACAAAGTATAACTGGCCACAATCATTTAAGTGTTTTATTTATTTGTTGGAGTAAACAAGTCAATGGCTAACCTAACAAGAGGAAATTCATTTTAGGATGTTTCATAAACAGCCTTGTTCGTTCGAGCATCTATTGTTCCTGAGGGGTGTGTATGCTGTGGGAAGAATGTGCTTGGATTACATAAATTCATCCCAGCGTTATGGGAGAGCAATAGAGAGAGGAGTATAGTAATAACTTGGCGATCCCTTCTCCACGAGCCCACTTCAAAGGGCCATGTGAAGATTTCATTATTTCCCCAAGCTACAAAGGTCATTGAAAGGACACATTGTACACAAAATAGTCACTCCAAGAGTATTTAGACTGACTGTCTCGCAACAGGAAGAGCACTAGTTCTACTCTCCACTTCTCTTCAGGCCTGTTTCTTTGGCCAACAACCTCCCGGTTGTGCTTCATTGTCACGAGCATTCTTATTTCCAGTATCTGATTTATTGGACTACTTCTATTTTAGGAGCCAAAACGGTAACATGGGGGCTTATATTGACCATTTCCCCAAAATATTGTAGAGCCTTAGCAGACGACACAACGGTCCACAACATCAAGGCACAGGACCTCGTAATCCGTTCAAATAGTTTTGCAAAAGGTTATTTTATTGACCAGAACAGCTGTTTTCACTTGCTTAATGGAGATGGCAGCAAGCTGAATCTTGTGAGTCTGCCTTATAGTTGAAAATGGCTCAGGTCTTAGTTTGGTAGACTGGCACCCATAACTTCATTTTAGTGGCGGCGCAAGTCGAGACTAGCAAGTTTAGGGCGGTATTGCATCTCTCTGAGCTTAGAAAGTAGTCTGTGGTCGCCGTAAAAATGGGTGCATTGTCATTTTCATGGTTTAATTCAGCATATTTGTGAATTTGGCACCTGTGCTACACTTCAGGGCATCTGCAAATTTGGTTCCAAAAAGTAGACTGAAGACTAGATTTTTAGACCCGAGAAAAGCAGGTCTAACCTGTGGTGCAGGTGGGATAAAGCAATTTTAGTGTCTTTGATCGAGGCGCAGACAGACAAATTCGGCGCTCTGCTGATGTGAATGGTGGACGTCATGGGATTTCAAGTCAAATTTATTGAGATCGCCCATAATCAGAGGAACGTCTCGAAGGGCTTCACATGCCCATACTTGACCAATATTAACGACATCCCCTGGTCTCATCTCCCAGGATGGCAAGGAAAAACAACAACAACAACAAAAAAAAAAACATTTGTTGAAGAACGAAAAAGCTCGAAAAGTGGCCGCAAATGGGGGAATGGCCAGGCTGTATTGGATGCCATGGGGGGGCAACATTTAGCACATAAAATCATGCTGTATAATGTCAGTGGAAATGGTGTGAAAGTCCATTCAAACAGATGAAGCACTGCAGAAGGTGAAGTGGGTCCCGGCCAATCGGTCAACACAGAAATCTGCTTCGCAGCGCCTCCGAGGATGTGGTCAACCTGCAGCGGTCAGTTGCTGCACAATCCAATGACACGACAAGCTCGAGCAAAAGGTTGAAGGACCACCTGCAGATGGTTACACCATTCGGGGGGTCGTAACATGGCCATAAAAAATGCTCTCAAGTCACTTTGTTACAATACAAGTTAACGCACTAAAAGGAGTTTACAGCGGGAGCAGATAGCCACTCAAGTGCTTCACAAAGTGCATGCCTGACAGGTGGCACAATGAAACACAATTAACTGAGTGACCGTCCTTGTAGCATGCATTCATTCATTCAAGGTGCCTAAATTTGATGAGATGCTCATTTTCTCCCAAAACCCGGGAAAACGGAAGACTTAACCGATCGATCGGCAGGTCCGTAAACAACAATTCCCACACACCGCAGCTGCGTCACTGTTTTTCTTCACCTCTTTATCAGCTGTCAAATCATATCCACGATCGTTGACTTCAGCAGCCTGCTTGCCTCTCGTCATACCTGAATTGCTGAGATTGCTGATAACACGTTAAAACACGCTTTCCTTACTTGAAATTCAAAGCTGGGAAAAAAATGTATCATAATAAGAAGAAGAAGAAGAGGTTTCCTGTACCACTGCTGTTGTTCTCTCAGTGATGTCTTTGTACATGTTAACTGGCTCATTATGTAAGGACACGAATGACATTTCTCAGTCTTGGGGGTGGAGACAAAAGGATTTGGAAGTGGCATCTTTGATTGACGGCGACAAAAAATGGAAAAGATTTGCCGAGTGCTGTTTTTTGTTTGTTTCTTTCTTTCTCTCCTCCATAGATTTGTTCTATGGTGGAAGCTGCCTTTCGTGGATGAGACTCGTGGTTTCCCAACCCAGTGGCTGCACTTTCTTACTCCGGCCACCGACCCGAGAAAATCACAATAGGCCTCCTGCGTTGTATTGTCATTGTTTATATGTGAATGAGAGGATGTGTTTCATCATGTTGAAATGCATGTGCAAATCATTGAGGTTTGGCACACGCGGTCTCTCGGTGGTCATTTGATGAAAAGGGCTTGCTCTTGCAGGTAAGCTTGTTCTGTGTTTGAACCCTGCCGACAAAAAGGAAACGCTCAAGGTGTCGGATGAAAACATTTCAGCAACGTTGGATAAATCCAAATGGAATATGTTGATGTACATGCGCCACGAGGACTATCTCCTTCGCTCGTTTTTTTTTTCCCCCCCTCTTACGATCCCGACTGGCACTTCCTTGAGCGCAGAGAAAGAGCAGCGTGGAAGCCACAGTTGAAACAGGTGGTGAGGTGATGTGCAAAGGTTCAACTCGTGTTAAATGTGAAAAGTGAGAGAAGATCATTCGAAATAGGAACTCTATTTGTGTTCTAATGGCTTCCAGAAAGGGCGAAGACCAAGCGCTGCTCTCCAGATGTTTTCTTTGCTTATATTTGTCTCTTTGTCACTCTCTCTCTCTCTCGCCTTCTTCCTAAAATGAATATTACCTTGTTTTACCCCAGCAGCTGGATAATTTGTTCCATTTGAGGGGAGGAAAGGGGGCAGGCCGGCAGGCGACAGTCAGGCGAGCAGCCACACAGGTTCATGCCTTGTTGAAGAGTATCACGTAGCTGCCTTTTATGACCTGTTAAACACCCCAGAGCTGAACGCCACCATTTATCCTGCAGGGTGTGAATAAGATAGGGGTGAAGGTAGCTGTAAAAAGAAAAAAAAAAGAAAAAAAAGCATGTTTGTTATTTGGAGAGGAAATCAGGCTACATGGGAAAAAAAGGAGCCCCCTGTAAGCCTGCAATACTGACGCTCTCAACACTTTGTTCCTTCTGTAAACATTCCGGTGTGTAGATGTGATCAATTGTGATTGTGTTGTTTACAGAGGACTGGGCAAGGACATTTGAAAGGTAACTAACAATTTCAAAGAGATTCCACCTTGTCAAGCTGAGTGTCTCCGTCATTTTGACGAGAACGCATCTCTTATGAACAGCGCATGCGGGCTAAAGGGAGGGGAGGAAGGCGTCGAATGTTTGTTTCCCTCCATGTTGTCACTGCACTATGTGTGTTGACCAGTTGTTTCCCTTTCACCAAGGCCTCCAATGTATGAGAGACTAAAAGGCAAGAAAAAAAAATGTGTTTTTCAGCTTTGGGAGGGAGCAATAACAATCGCCTCCGTGATTCCTTCCACATGTGTATGTTGTGGCTCACGCTTCATTTTGGACTCTGTTGTCCATCATCAGATGCGCTGGGCAAGAATTTGGGAGAAGGGTGAGAGAAAACGACAAGAGAGGGAAAGCGAGTTCTTCTTCGATTTCAATTGGGGATCGGCAGCGACGCAAACGGTAGATGAAGGCGGGAGGGAGGCGCGGCGGCTGAGGCTGAGGGATGGATGCATGTGGATGTGGAGAGCAAAGAAGGGAGGGAGGGAGGGAGGCGCTCGGCAGAGCCACTGAGTCTAGACTCCAGATGTGCAGGCAGCAGCGGAGCGGCTGCATTGGCCCCCACCAGGCTGCTCTGGGAGTAGCCCCAGCACATGTCCCCACGCCGCCTGTAAATCAGTCCAGCTCGGCCTCAGGCTGCACCGCAGCCACAAAACCCTTCCGCACGGACCCCCAAATGCGGCTGGCCAGCGACAGAAA